AAGAGTAGAGACTTGTTCATTAAAGATGCAGTATCCCTGGTTCACAAAAATGTATCTGGCAGGTTGAAAATCAAATGTCAACCAAAGGTCTTTGCGAGTGGGAGATTCAGTTCATGTATTGACTAGTCCCCAGTACATCTCTCTCTCTCTCTCTCTCTCTCTCTCTTTTGTTGTTGTTTTTGTTTTGGTCAAGGAATATTTCTAATTCTGTGTTTACTAATGTGCTTCACTTATCAATCTGCTCAGAAAACACAAAGGTTTCGTCTTTTCTTAGAAAGAGAAAACAAAAAAAACGCACTCTTTAAAAAAAATAAAACACTCGCACATATACAGGATGAAAAGGAGTTACTCTTGCACAGGCCATGTTGATCTGTCTGATACACAATCTATCAACCTTTTGTTCATATATGTTCAAGTGAAATGAATGACAGATGCATAAGCGTACTTTTGGGTAATTCACATGTATGCCAACTGAACCTGTGCATGAGATGTTCTCAGTAGGCCATGGCTTCCTAAGGAAGAAAGCAAAGATACAAGGAATATGCCTTTTAGAGGTAAGATAGTAAATTCTCAAATGGGCACCAGGAATAATTCCATTGAACTGATGGACTTACACTACAAGATTTTTGGTGTAAGCAAAATTTAAATCAACTGTAACCTGTTATTTCTGAGATCTCATTTTTATAAAGAAAATCTCTCAGTTTCATAGAATGAGTGCTGTGTTGATTAGAATGAAGCACATACAATGGTACTTATAAATGCTTATCTACTGAAAGTTATACACATTTTCCGGCAGTAGAAACCTTTGTTTGCAGCTTTTGACATGTAAACACATTACCATCTACCAACATCTGTTGGAATTAATTGGGGTTTTTACACTAGATTATCTCCTTTTGAAAATTGCCTAGCAAAGTATTATGCCAGCCCATATAAAATGACCTTGTACTATTTTACAGAGCATAGCCCCTGGACAGATGATCTAGCTTTCCCAGATGGTGCTTTGCCTATGTGTTTTACTGGGAGGTTTTATTTTCTCCTTGATGGGTTTGAAATGCACAAGAAAACCCATTTTATCCATCTATCTGCATTTGAATAGAATACAAATTGACTAATAGAAAAATATTTTGTGCAAAAGTAAATAGCCTCAAACTGCCTTCACATTCCATTGATCAGCTCAGTCAGCAAACTTTTGACTACTATCTCTAATGATCTAAATATTTTTGGGGAGAGGAGCATGCCAGACATATATGAGCATTTCTGTATTATAAACTCATACAAAGGTCATGATACTACGTTTTGAATTAGCATTGATAATTTGGATAGCAGAAGATTATCCCTTGCTTTGACTGTTGGAATTGTTATTATAGTTGGAAAAAAGAAGCTTCATCTAATGCAAAATTGTATTGACCTATTCAGGCATAAGCATCATTTTGTAAGCCACTGCAGCCGATACAAATAATTGATGCCTACCTGAAACAATTCACACAATTTTTGAGCAAGCTATGAAGCTGAGCTACTATGCCTTTAATTAGTTACCAGTTGCACAAAAGAGAGTTTGTCACCTAGAGCTTTAATGGTGGGAGAAGCTGCAACTACTACTAATTATCCTTTGTTTTTGTTTTGTTTTTTTAAAAAAAGGCACAAGAGAGCTGCACAATATGGAATCTGGAAATCCTAGCTGAGAGTATGTTTTGTTTTTACACACTGTAGGAATGGAATCCATAGTTTTAACCAACTGAAAAGGGTAAGAGACACCTTCTTACAGGATCCATTTTAAATGCTCAAATCATTGCTATATGTTTGCTGTATCGACTTCCTCACAAAAGGCAATCTTCTCATTCATGGCACACCCAAATATCCTGGAAGCTTAAGCCCCAGGATCAGTTTCTTTTGTAATGAGACATATAAGGGTAGCCATTCCATACTGAAAAGAATGCAGCAGTATATATATATAAAAAAGAATGGCCTTATTCACATAGGAAGTATGAATGCAGTTGCTTCCCACCCAGCGTAAGGGTAGTTTGTTAAAAATGAGCGAATGGGGTCTGAGCACACTGGACAAAGGCTGAGTGATTCCATTTGCCAGGAAACCTCCATTGGCAGAGAGCTGAGAGAATGTTATATCTTGCCTCTCACCTATGGAAGGACGAGCGGGTAAACAAAACTATTCTTCTCTCGCTAGGTAAAACATTCTACCCCACTAGCTGCAGCTGGCTAACAGTTGGGATGGAAACACAATGTCCTGGTGCTTTCTGCAATTGATGAGCAATGTAACATTCAACGTTGTTGCTGTTCCTAAAACAAATTCTCCCAATGTTGCTTTATTTTGGTCAGGTTCACAATTTTGCCTGTTGTCTTTAGAGGTTACTCAAACAATAATTTTCTCTTCCAACATGCATCATGTAAAGAATCCAAAGTAAGCACTTCCTTCCAATTTCATTTGGTTTGGTTTGATTAAAACAATGGGCAAGGGAGCTAAAAAACAGGATACTGCGTGGAGCCGTGTATAATGTTTAGTGTTAATAATATTGATTTAGAAGGATGTATAGATTTTGCGATGTTAAGTATGAAGCTGGTTTTTCAAACATATTGGAGGCTTTTAAATGAGCACAGCATGATAGCAGACGCAAAATGCAGTGTCCCAAAGATAGAAGATTGGTCAGCAATCTGCATCAGTAAACTCGTCTGCCAGATCAATATGCATCTACAGGAAAGGAAATCCTTGTATCTCCCAAATAGAAAGGAAAATATAATGGAAGAGATATAAAGGGGCAAAAGGGAGAAAGGAAGGCATTCACGAACCGAAAAAGGAACGCATCTATTAAGATTTACTTTATTATAACCTCAGTGAAAGGCACAGTTTGTTTCTTCAAAAGGACCTTCTGCCTAAGAAAAAAACAAAACAACTAATAAGTTTAGAGTGAAGAAATAGGAATGGCTAGAATGTACATTTTGGGTTTTTTTCCCTTTGTATAGCAACAGACATTAAAAGAGGCATTAAGAAATTAAAATGGAAAGGGTAATCAGAAAGAAAATGCCAGCCAACCACTCATTGTTAACTTTCTTATCCCTAATGTTTCAGCTGAATAAATGTCAAGTGAGATAACTGGACAGTAGTCTTAAAGACACAAATAGCCAGTTAGCTGATTTTTTTTTCTGTTTAGGATTTCAATGCATTTATTTCATGTTTTTGAAGGTATCTTACTTAAAAGTAACATTAAATGCTAGTGATTTGCCAATGTTCTGCTACTTTCTTAAAGCAAACAAAAATTACGATAAAAAAGGAGATTGTTCTGCTCGTGCAAAGGCTTGGGTTTCTACAGGGTGCAGAGATATTGACAACACAAGTCAGCTGTCATGAAGAGACATTAAGGAATAAAAAGAAAGACCAGGTACAATGGGGACACCAAGTGAACAAAATGCCACACATTCTTGACAGCCTGTCTTTCCAGAAGGAAGACTCGACAATGTTTGTCCTTGCTTCGCAATGGGCAGAAGAGGAAAGAGGCTTCCCCCCCAAGAGAAGGATCCTTCCTTTCTTCCCTCTCCTTCCCAGCTTCTCTCAAGTTGTAATCCTGAACATACATACCAGGTTCACTGGACAAAATACAATGAAATTCTGAGAGAGCATGTGCAGGATTGCACTGGTAAATCATTAAACAGATTGGCATCCGGGATGCCGTCTAGTGGCCTAGTCTTTGCTTTCTCAGAGAAATGGAACAAAAGCTGAGGTAGGAATAGAAGGGTGGACACCGCTTGCAACATTCCTAATGAACATGGGAATGATTATAGTAGAAGAAGAAATGCATACATGAAAATAAATGAAGGACTTTTTATTTGTGTGTGGAAAATGGGAGGTTGAAAAGCACGAATCCATTTTAAAGGTTCGTTTTTTTCCCTTGCTCTTTCCGTGTTTCACTGTCTACTGCATTGCTGTAAACAGCGCTGCAACTTATAAGCTCTATCAGTGACCTAGAATGATTTTGTTCTACTGACTCAATGAAATAATCAGGACACTACAGCTCTGACCAAGATATAAAAGCAGTTGGAGTCTCAGGTAATTTGCCTCTCAGAGTCCTAACTAGATGTTGCCTTTGACTGTCCCAGATGATGATGTAATTCGACAGGGTGGCTTTCTTATTGTCTGTGCACTTGTCACAAAATTGTCAAGGACTAAGGACTTTCACACACTACTGCCACAAAAATTCTCTTGCTGTCTTCTGATCCCAATCTTTTTAAAAGAACCATTTCTTAAAAATTGGGATACCCCCTCTGTTTCTATTTCAAATGGTTTAAAGATTAATTTATAGCACACTTCAGCTTGCTCCTGGATACATTCAAAGTATTTCTCCTTGTTATTTTTTTTTCCAACAGTTGAGGTAAACATACATATTTAATATAAAGTAACATTGAAGCCTAGCCTATTAACTCTCAGCAGTACATAGTGCTTTCAACACATTCCTTTGAGGTACTGTACAAATCACAATCACTTTCCTGAGTTTTTTTTCTTTTTTCTTTTTCTTTTTTTTTCTTTTGCGGACAGAACATTAAAACAAATGAACTGCAGAAATTAAGGTCCAGATTACCATGACCCTGTTTTACCTGTTCTCGGTTTAATACTTCAGAACAGACAGGATTGAGGAATACTGTTGCTCTCAGACTAGCCACAAACAAAAACAAAAGCAAACAAACAAACAAAAAAATTACAACCTGGTTCTCTGTCGCAACACAACCATTCCTTTCTTTAGTCCCATAACATTTTGAAGTTAAAGCTCTTTATATTAGCACATGCCACCAATGTCATTGTGAGGCAAACAAAAAATAAAATAAAGAAAAAAAATAAAATAAAAGCACCACTTCAGGCACTTGACAGCAACTAAATCTCAAGAACAGCAGAATGGAATCAACACACAGGGTTCATGTCCATCTAAAAATCAACCCACTTGGCTCCTTGCTCCATGCTGAGAGTGTGTCGTCTAGCCTGAACAGAACGGAGCATCAACAGATGCTTTCTGTCATCTGTGACTTTCCAGATCAACAGCTCTTGTCTGATGCACTATTCCTTCAAGCTTACACTGGGCTCTTTAGGTGCAAGGTGATCACTGTTTTTACCCCCAGTACCCTTTCACAATTTTAACACTACTGAAAAGGGCTCCGTGCCCTATGTAACAGGTGTGTGTCTATGTATATATATATGTGTGTGTGTGCACGCGCACCAACATTCATTACATTTGTTTTTTTTAAAAAAGTGTCACTGACTGCAACCAAACATTTTGTTCCATTCAATGTATGTATCGAGCTCCTTTTGAGATATGCTTGGCTGAATCTTGCAGAAAGCATTTTCAAAGTCTTGATATGTAACAGGCCTCAGCTGGCTGGGCATAATGGCTGATAGGTCTGTGGCTGGCATGGCATGGAGCGGGCCGACTACCGCTTCCTGACACAAATGAGCAACATCTAGTCCCGAAAAGCCTTCTGTACGCTGGACAAGCAGTGCAACCTCCTTGTCATTGAGACAGTAATTGTGCTGTGAGAGCAGTTGTACTATTATCTGGTGCCTCGCTGTGCTGTCAGGAAGTGGGATTAAAAGTCGTTTCATGAAGTACCTTCGAAGAGATTCATCTATTTCTTCCGGTTTACTGGTGGCACAAATTACTACTATTTGGTCCTCAGCAGAGGTTAGCACAGTGTCCAGCTGCATAAGGAACTCGGTTCTCATCCGACATACTGGACTGTGTTCTTCATTCACTTGGGACGAAAGGAGCACATCAATGTCACTGACAAAAATCACGGAGGGCTGGCGACACCTTGCCACCAGGAAGGAGGCATGAACAATTTGTTCTCCTTCCCCTAACCACTTTGTGACAAGACCAGAGCCGGTGATTTTGAAAAATGTGGCTCCCAGCTGGCTAGCTATACATCGGCCCATTAATGTTTTGCCTGTTCCCCGAGGTCCAAAGAAAAGGATGCTCCGAGGTAGAGCAGTCAGCCCATTGAACGCATCTGACCTCAATACTGGCCATAAAACCTCCTCTTTAATGACAGCCTTTACCAAATCTAGACCAGCAATGTCATTCCAGTCCACAGGAGGTCCTTGGTTGATAATCTCATTGGTTACCAGGTCAATGAGGTGCGCGTCAGTATTCTTCAGTTGCTCGTCCACAGAGTGGCTGGATGAGGTAGCTGCACGAAGTCCCGGGCCTTGCATCGGGTGGGGAAGGAGCTGCCTATGTTCGTCACTGTGTTCGTTCATGACTGGGGAGCTGTACTTCCCAAACGGTTCACTTGCCCTCGACCCAAGTGAATTTTTAGTACTGCTGTAAGAAGGGGGCGTCAGAGCCCGGCTGGACTGGCTGAATTTCCTTTGCTGTTCAGAAGCCATTATCTGCTTTGTTGGCTTAAATGCTAAGGACGACGGCTCAGCATTTCTGTCAAAGCCATTCCCTCTGTTGGCATTTGAAATGCTGTTGTCAGGCATCCTGTACATGGGACTTTGTGTAGATCTCTGTTGGCCATAGCTGTAATTTCCATAACTAGAGTCCATCTCTCCTTGTCCTGCCATGTAGAAAGCTTTCCTTTTGAGAGAACTGGCTGAACTGTTGGTCAGGGCAGACGGGGCAAGGGGTGTTAAGCCGTGACCCTGGTAGGTGTAACCAGGTACTGTGGTAGGGGGAAGAGGAGTTGGGGCAGGAATTCCTGACGGCAGATATGCTGAGGGAGGAGGGGCACCGCCAGGGCTATAGCCAGGCCCAACGGCACTTTGAGGGGGATAACTGGCAGATGGATAGGTATAACTGGAAAGGTTAGAGGTCCCATTGTAGCCTGGCACTAGGGCTGGTGGGGGAGGGGGCGGCGGGGGCGGCTGTAACAGGCCAGAACTATGCAGTGGGGATGGGTGAGGCGAGGGAAGTGCAGGTGCTGTCTGGCCACTGTAACTCGTATGCAAGTAAGATCCATTGTATCCCGTGGCATATTCCTGAGATGGGAGCCCTGAATGCAGACTAGGTACAGTATGACTTCCACAGGTACTACTAGAATAGCTAGGTTCTGTCAGGTTACTGGCCACCCCAGGTGAACTCCCTATACTGGCAGAGACATCTGCTGGCGGGAGGGCAGTACTTACTCCAGCTTTGCTGGCAGTAATAACATCGGGAACACAGTTCATAGGGTAGACACCCTCAGAGTTCAGGGAAGGCTGCCAGGGTTCACTCTCACTCTTGCGCCCATTCACCAGCCCCGGCGGAGGCTCTGAATAGTTACTCAGCAAGGGCCGTTCGGCTGGCCCCTCCAAAATGCCAGAATATTTTTCTGCATATTTTTTAAGCAGATTTGAGGCAGTTAGAGCAGAGATGTCATCATTAGCCCAAGCATACTGGTAGGTGCGCTGCAGGTGTCCACGGTAAGCTTCTACCTTGTGGGCAGGAGACCGCGTCGTTGAAGTGATATCAAAGTGCTGCTCTGGCCACTGGGCATGCTCTGGCGTCCACTGCATCTTCAAGCCTGGGATTTGGGGGTGGGGGTGGGGAGAAGAAAGGAACAAAATCAGCATGTGGCATGGAGAAGGCACTGGCAAAGGCATCTAGGTACATATACTTGATTCCCCCCTGTACAGGTACAATGACTGTGCTTAAGACAAGAGCTCGTTTAAAACCATAAACGTTTAAATTATCAGCTAGGCTGCCACCAGTACACACAGACACCGACACCCCTGTCTGACATACTTTGCTAATTCAGAGGAAAAGAAGTGGAAGAAATTATTTAACCTAGCTGGGTGGATTAACTAAAGGATAACCAGGTGTATTTTTAATCTCCCCCTCCCCATATAAATTCATTAGTAGGTAACATGTTATATATCCTAAATGGTCTCATCTTCCCCATCACAGCTCCTGTTTTAAATTTTAAGAGATTTTTTTCCCCCTTAAAAAACCTACGAGACACAGCTGACAGATCACATCTAGGATACCTTTCTTATTTGGTGCTGAATACCTAGTTAGCACAGTATAATGCACCCTGCGCAGAACAATATGACACAGACATAGCAGGTCATTCCATAATCCAACTCTCATCTAAAGTGGTCCACGACAGTTTCAAATCTGCTTCGTGGAGTGCAGCAAAGCAATCTCCCAGGCAGCGCTCCGTTGCTTTCATCACACAAAGCCTACAACTCGGTATGAATTACAACTGGCTGCTCTCTGCTTCGCAGTTCTGTTGTTGAGCTCTGGAAGAAAGAGTGTGTGTGTGCATGGGGGGGGAGAGAAGCAAAGCCCAAGCATCACTCGTATTATCATTTCGTTTGCTCTCCTTTTCCCATCTTCCCTATTCCAACTCCTCCCTCCCTCCCTGCCTCTTGTGTATGGGTGGTGGGTTGGGGGAAAGGGGGAAGAGGAGGCACTAGAAAAGAGGAATTAAAGGTGGAGCAGTCACTAAAAGTTCAGTGGGGGTGGGGGTGGTTTGGGGCCTGCAATTTCTCACTGTGGTTACTGCTTTAGCACAATTGTTTGTGCCAAACGGAATCTTTAGTTAGTTTTATTTTGATAAAATAAACAAGCCGAGTACTCCAGCATTAAAAGAAAAGCACCTTCCAAACCTACTTGTGCATGGTAATCATTATTAAGGCAGGCCTGAGTTAAGTCATGCTCATTTTACCAAAAATAAAAAAAAAAAGCAATCTGTCTTGTGCTCTTTGGCACAGAGGTTCTCTCGTCAATTCTTGCAGTTTTTTATTTTTATTTTTTTATTTTTTTTGCAATCTGTCTTGTGCCCTTTGGCACAGAGGTTCTCACGTGAATTCTTGCAATCTATTTTGGACAGCAACGTCCACTCCCCAAATCTTGGCTTTTCCTCCCCAAACCCTTCAGCTCTCCCTTTCCTGATTCCAGCATACTTGACATGACCAGTTTAGCCCTGCTGAGATAGACCTAACACAGCATATAGTTTTGCAACAGAATGGCATGTTTATTCCCTTCTGATTCCCTCTTCCTTGTTTGCACATCCGCTGCACCAGACACAGGAAGTTAATTAGCAGCATGATGCTGTGCTAATTGTGTTAATTTACAAGGTTTTAGTCAAAGAGAATCATGCCAGGGCTGGCACTGCTGTCAGGTTTCCAGCTTAATGATTAAGAAATACTGAAAACAAGGTGGGAAGAATTGCAGTAATTACACAATAAATTAATAGAGCAACAGGATTAATTTGTAAATGTATTTTATTGCAGTTGTGCCTGTTTGAATTGGGATTATTTTGGATGGTGGGATTTGTTGACAACATTCACTTTTTTTTTTTGCTGATCCATTTAGGCACATAGGTAAGGATTTTAAAATATCCCTTGGTGTTTACCTCTTAGTATCAAACAATAGAAGTCTTTCTTTGTGTGATAACATGCATTTTTATTCAGATCTTCAACAAAAATTTGGCCAGCTTCTCAAGATTTGATCTGTAGAGTTAACTCAAATATTCTTTTCAAAAACATGTTTCTTCAAAATAGGCTCCCCCCCTCAATTTTAATAAAAGTGAGCAAAGTTGTACAATGATTTAGTTTTACCTTAAAAAATACTGTCAGCAACCTATTAGATAGGACTTTGAAACAGCAAGAGCAAGTCAGAAGCAGACTAGCAACAAAACTTCAACTCATTTTCCAGAATCCTATTAATGATTCATGCTTGCATAAAGGAAATTGCTTTATGTCATGGTGGCAAATCCCCACTCATTCAGAAGAAAATCGTTGTGCACCCCAGCACATACCCATTCCCACAACTGGACATGCAATCAGCACGATGCTAATGAGCAGCAATTTGCCACCAACACTTATGTGACTTCCCTTACATCAGCGTAAACTGGCAATAAGATTTGAGACATTTAAAAAAAGAGAATTAAATGTGTCAGCTACACAAAAGTTCTTTAAAAAAAACACACATTACTAATCTTTTAAAAGAAGATTTATGGTTCTAGACTTTCGATTCTGAGAGATTACAGAAGACAGAGGAGCTCAAATTCCAGATGGGGAATCTTAGAGAACAAATTAATGCTTCTTTTGATATGTATGAATAAAAAGGAGCTTTAGGGCAAAATCCATTTGACCATAGGCATAGCTCTGCCCAATCTCCATCGAGGGGTTGAGGATTATGGAGATTGCCTATTAAAACCAAAAGGGGTTCTGCTCCCACAAAGTAGTATGTGAGAGTACCTTAGACTTAGGGCACCTCCTAAAACAAGCTCCCTAAGTTCCATACCACTTCTGTATGGGCTGTTTCATAAGAAGAACAAATGAACAGGGTTCTGTCCGTAGAATGTATTCAGATGCATCCTGCCATGCAGATGTTCTGCAATCATGGGGATAAATTACTTTTGAAAAACTAGAAGTTAGAAATAATGACTTACATGTACCTAATTCCTTTCTGCAATATTTGAGTGCTAGGACTACAATTCTAAAATAATGACCAAAATCTTTAGTATAAGCTGCATTGTAAATTTCGGTCTGTTGCTCCCTGGTAAATAAAGTGTCCCTTTTGCAAATCTGTGTTTTGTGTGTAACCCCTGAAGAACTGTGGCAGAGGTGCTTATTTTACCAGGGAGGAGTGGACCAAAAGTTGCAATTTGCCTTATGCTAAACAATAGGACTCGGTCCAATATTATATTAGAAGATGTAACATAACAAGACATCTCTCTGGTTCTGCTATGAAACTATAACTCTTTTAGACATTTTGGGTTTTTTTCTGCCACAGCCAGTGGTATGTAACATTCTGATTTTTTTTTAAAAAAGGAACGAAAACATTACTTTTGAACAGAAAAATTACAGTAAGTGTGTACAAAATTTCAAATATAATGACAGTGACTAAAGTTTTGGTCTCAGAATGGGAACTGTAATTATATCCTCTTAAAAGTAACTTTCTCATCTCCAAGAAAGTGTTCTTGTATTATTGAAGACACTGGTCAGAATCCTATTAGTGTTTGCCTAAGGTTTGTGTAACTTGCTTCTCCTAATTGCAGCGGGGTGTGTCTTGGTCACACGTGTACTCACACACCTGATTGTACACCCTGGCATTTCATGAATTAGCTGCGGCAAATTACACAAATTTTATACAGACACTAAAAGGATTCTGGCCACTGTTTCCATACCTCTCCCAATACCAGGCAGAGCGCTTCAAACAGAAGCCTAGGCACTCCAGCTTTTATACTGTAAGAAAGCACTTCCACGTGTCTTTGTTTCTCTTGAACTTGGATTGGGACTATTCATTTCAAGAGGCGTTAATAATGCACAGAAGTACACACAATAACAGGGTACAGCCTGCACAATATTATAGTTAATGGTAAATTCCCCATTGATGTGAATGAAGCTGGATATGTTTGATATTTTTCACAGAATAGATTAAAAAAAACAATGTAAAACAGGGAAGCAAGTGTAAATGAGGGAGGAAGAAATGGCACACAAATTCTAATGCCAAAGTTATGTTTAATGTAAAAAAAAACCCCCAACATTATAACAAAGCAAACCCAGACAACATATTATCATGCTAAAATATTTAATACAGGATATTAAGTTTTCTTTAAAAAATGATTTTAAAAGCAGTTAACGGTTTCAGTATAGTCATCCCTCTGACAAAAGTGAAAGTGTGCATCAAAACTATTTATTTGCCATAATTACTAGTTAGCCCATTGGTTTCAGATTGCTATTTCAGCTGTGGATCTGCTCACTGCACAATAATTGAAAGTTTATTTATTGATGCATATTAAGTACCAGTGCATTTAACAGAGACTGTAAAAGACAGTGTTTCCGAATTTTAAAAATGAACCCAAAGGAAGCAGCAAGCATTTATTCAACTGCACTGCAACCGTATTATTTGGAAGTTAATCCTTAGCTGAAGAGCTATTTTTCACAGTAACAGGCAGCGCACCAGTACTGGCAGATCAAAGATTCAAAACTAAGAAACATAATTTACAAGCAATAGTATCTGTTTTTATGAGACTCTATGGAGGTGTAATGGTCTGAGATATTTGGTAAGCTGCAATATTCCTTTAAAATAAGAGACATCTGGCAACTCTCTTATGCACTCACATCACATGTACTGAAATGGAAATCAGTGTCACTAAAATCCTTAATGTCAGTGCTACCGACATTATATCTGATGCAATCCATGGTTTATTTGTATGACAGACAGACAGACAGACAGACAGACAGACAGACAGACAGACAGACAGACAGACAGACAGACAGAAAGAAAGAAAGAAAGAAAGAAAGAAAGAAAGAAAGAGGAAGAAAACCTAAACAAACCATGTTCAGAAAGAAAATTAAGAGAAGAAATTAAGAAAATGAGTGACACGTCCATCTTGGAGCACAGAAAACCTCATTTTCAGATAGCATAATTAGCATATACAGTATAGAAGATTCTAAGGAAATATTCAGATGCACTGAAATACTGTTCCACATTTATATCCTTTTTTGGTTGTATAATTTGGAACAATCAGAATTGTTGCACAGACCAAATTTGTTTGGTAACTTTTAA